ATGACCGAAAACATTTGATTGACAGATGACCGTTGATATATGATTGGCCGAATTTAGGTTAAATATGATTTCCATATGACTTTAAATGTCAAAAATATGTAAAAGGACTCAAGTCTGAATGTATACTGACCTAATAAGACATAGAATTTTAATTAAATCTAATTGAATGGAAATTTAAATTCATGCAGCTCTCATCCTTTGCCCGCTGGCGCTGGCCCCCTCCTGGCCCCCCTGGTACATTTGGTCTAGAACCGCCACTGCACTCGATGATAACCTACTGGCCCAATCTGAGGCCGTTCAATGGGACTGATAACCACTAATAAGGATCATGCGTATGCTGGCCTGACAGAACAGCAGCCACGAACTGATTCATTAAACTCAAGGTTTTTCTGCTCATTAAAGAAAAAATGACATCATTCAGGAAGATTAAGAAGATTAATACCAAAAACAATTCCTGTAGATACAGCAGCATGTGTTTAATGTAAACTATAATCATCTGAATGTTTACAGAAGAACAGGAAACAGCAAAGGAAAAAAAGGCATCAGTTAATCCAGAAAATGTTTTAGTGTTTTTAATCCCGTTGGGATTACTGCTCATAATTTACAGGTTCTGTTTCAGAAATCTACAAAATATACTAGAATTTCTTACAAACTGAATTCATATGAAAAAAAAACCAACAAAACAAATAATCTTATTACAATTTAAATATTTAGGTTTGGTCCCAAAATTGATTAGAATTTCCTTTAAATTAAAGTGCAGAGATGAACTGAGGTTTACAGACGTTAGAAAACAAACAATCTTTCTGTAACATGAGAACCGCGAATCAGACGTTGGTCCTTCAACCTAAAGTTCTGAGTTTTTTTCCCTTTGAGGGATTAAATTAGCAGAGAAGGTCAGACAGGAATGTTAGAAGGAGCCCTGAGCTCCAGAGGATCGTTATCTGTTCCAGACGCTGGAATCAGTTGGATCAAACAGCTCAGCGAGGCTCTAGTTAGTGCTGATGATCTAGAATCAGCAGATCTATAACGGGACTCTCCATTGGGCGGTTCTAGAATGGATTCATGTTTCCACACATCAATCGTCTGATGCTGAATCTGTTTCAGGCAGATGAACGGAGGTTTCTAATGGCCTCCAGCAGGCGGGAATCACCATGGCGATCAGTGACTCAGCATCTTCTCTGGTTTCCACCTTTTTAGCGAACCAGAGCTGATGCTGTGAGAACCGTGGTCCATGGAGAACCAGCCGCTCATATTGATCATTGCTGCAGGTTCGCCCTGACCTGCTGCAACTGTACAGAAAATAAAACTGCTGCTGGAGCCGATCCGTTACCTGAAACCAGCCGATTCGTCTTTCAGCTTTTACTTTTACATTTAACGGATCAGAACCGTGACCCGCTTCCTGATCAGAAGCTAAAGCGGATCGTGTTTCCCATGTTCTGGATCACTGGAGTCCGGTTCCAGTAAACCCTGTTCTGATTTGTTCGCAACAGGAATGTTTCACGTCCGAGTCGCTATTTGTGCTTCGCTTCCTGCCGAAGGCGTGGACGCCATGGCAACGGCCAGGAGTTTAAAGACCTGAGGAGGAGGAAGAGAGTCCACGCCGCCAGAACCTCGTCAGGCGGCAGGAAACCTGGAGACGGCTCGGCGCCGTGAGGCAGCACGGAAAGATGAGGCCTCTGGTTTCATGTGTGGTTTGATTTCCACCTTTCATCTTCGTACAGCAGAGCCTGCAGACAGAAACACAGAGAACAGAAGATAAGGAAAATCACAGAACAGCAGCTTCTGTCCGGGTTTGAAGAGAAAAAAAAAAACAAGTTTTAAAGTTCAAATAGAAAAGAAATACTTATAATTCGATAGTATGTAAAAAAAAAATGAAATACATCACAAGTAAAAAAATGCCCAGCATTTTGTTATTTATAACGGAGGTCTTCAACAGGGGGTACACGACCCCTAGGGGTCCACGGAGGTACTGCATGGGGGTCGCAAAAGTTTTGCTTAATTAGACTTTTTATTTTCCCTCCAGCATTTTTTTTCAATTAATTGAAAGATCTTTAAATCCACATTAACATGAATCCAACACACTGTAGTAAACAGATAAATGGAGGCAAAATATGTGAAAAGATATGAAAGAGAATGGAAAAGAAAGGAAAATATATCATCACACACACCATAAAACCGCTCTAGACCCCCCTTGTCTTTGTCCTTTAAACACCAAATGAATCTGAACAGTGGATGGGAGCGTCTACCATCAGGTTCTGTCAACCAACCGCCTCCTCAGGTTTAGAGGATTTAGAGCTTTTCCTGTCAGCCTGTTGGAACAGTTTCTGGATCCGTGACGGTTGCCTCACCTTGCTCTCCAGAACCCGGCCGCGGCTCGGGCTGCTCAGCTCCTCCAGAGTTTCGGCTGCGGGTCTGTTCAGAGTTTCAGGCAGCAGGAGGCCCAGGCAGCCTGCAGACAGGCCGCTCAGACAGAACACCGTGAAGGGCATGGAGGCGTGGAGAGCCCGCTGGAACAGACAGACGTTTAGAGGACACATCCTCTGTTCACACGTGTTCACAATTAGCTGCGTCCTTTAGTGTTAGCATGCTAGGATTAGCACATATTGTGTATAGAACCGTCCAAACAAACTCATTGCTTTCAACTAAAAGGTTCAAAGTATGAAAAACATGAATACATAAAACATTAAAGCAAAGAACAATCAAGGATTTAAAAAAGAAAAAAACATCCCACACCATGATCATAACTTCACTTACATTAAAGGTAAAGGTGGAAAAGTTTTGAGAGAGAGGCTTTCCTAACCCTGCTTTTTCAAGGCCCACTGGCCTCCATGTTTTATTGTTTCCCCACTTCCACGCCTGACCTGAACGAACAGGTGACCAACAGGTGTTTGCATAAGGTGACCAGATTTCTGCATTTCCAGCTCGTAGATAAAAATAAATACATTTCATGAAAACTAAAATAGGACACAGGGACAGTGATGCATTTATCCATATTCAAATATTTATTAATATTTAAACAACAAAAGTTCAGAATCCTAACCCTATATTCTATTCATGTGCATAGATCCAGCTGTTACTATCTTATTTTTGATAAGATGTAAATGTCAAGTTTAAAGTTAATGCATATTTAACTTTTTCATCTTTGATCGTTCATAAAACGGTAAAATCATGGACATTTCCAGGGACAGCTTTAGCTGGGGACAGGTGGTCCTAAACGGGGACAGTCCCTGGAAATCTGGGACGTCTTTTTGCAGCCATTAATGGTAAAGGAGGTAATGTTGATATTTGATTGTTTGTTGAAACAGAGACAAACCTAAAACATGAAGGACCTGGAGTTTAAAGTAAAGAAGTGGGAAACAGATAGATCGGTAGGTCATCTGCATCCAGACAGATTTAGGATCAAATAATTCCTCCTTCCATGA